CCCCCCCCCCCCCCCCCTTTAAGTCTACGTCCGTTTTCATTGTTTTACCTATACCTATATGCAGGACAACATTACATTACAATACTTATTGCATCATTACAGTTATAGCCTAAATCAAATTACAATAGCCTACATGCAAATCTCTGTTTTGGATGCGCACAGCAGAAAGTATATTATTTATTATAATTATTATTATTATTATTAGCCTATTATTATTATTTTACAATTAGTATTTAACCATATTGTTACAATAAGATTTCTTTTAAATATGAGTTCTAAGGGTGTATATCCATTCTGAGGGAAATGTATCATTTCCACTAGCTAAAAAAAAAAAAAAAAAAAAAGAGTATCATTTCCTCCCTCTCTCTCTAAAAAAAAATAAAAAAAAAAAAGACGCGTCGCGTCACAACCTCAAAGCGATGAGGTTAAAAAACAGTGATTAATTCCTGCGCGCGGGCCCCCGCAGAGTCCGGGAAGGAATATATAAAAATAACCAGGTTTTCACTCTCCCAGCTCTTATTGAATGTCATTGTGGAGAGTTTTCAATGCGAGAGAGAAAGGCTCGAATTAAAGTGTGTGACAGCGGCGGACAAAGTGGCACAAAGCCGACTCTGTCAGTGAGGGCCCGAATGCACAGCGAGTGAAAGCCCCTGCCCGCCGCGCCCTGATTGAATTAAGTAATAGGAAAACAGTTTCTTTCACTTTAGGTTTGCTAAACAAGATGTTCAAAGGAAAAGGAGATACAAATGTGTGAGTAAACAGCGAAACGTGCGTTTAACGTTCTATTTGGAATATATTTTAAAGTTCGAAAAACATCACTATAACTATTAACACATTACATAGACACTGAATGTAACATAACAGACAATTAAAACAGAAACAAACGTCACTAAAATAAACTGAATTTCAGCAGCTATACATACATTCATATACATCATTCTCATGACAACAAAAATGTTGCGTTTACCTGCCGTTTATGATAAATGGAAACATTATCTGAAATGTTAGTTAGCCTATAATCGGCGTTTTTAACGTCATTTTAATTCTTTCACGGACAGTCGTAGTTTACCTTTTAACACTAGAATAGTCTAGCCTACTAAAAAAAATCTGAATGACAGATTTACAAACCACGCTTTCAGTGAAAGCTTTGACAAGCGCTAAATGTGCGCCACGGATGGATGGATGGCTATATGGATGGATGATGGAGGCAACCACAACACCAGATCGTGCAACTGTGCAGTTTAGCTACTCAGTGAGTATACGTATGGCCTGTACATACGTCTAACACTGATGGTTCTTGACAAATGCAACAATTATTCTTGCCCTCTTTCTGTATATCCCCGGAACCGAGCCGGCTCGCTTAATATAGAAAGCTCTTGCGTTCAGAACCAAGCCTCAAGCCTGGTAATGGACTGTATAGGCCCAGCCATTTGTTTTATTTTCTGGAAAATGACGAGGGACCCTCGTCCATCCCTCCCTCCCACCAAACCTCACTCCACTGGAATCACCACTCGACTCACATAAGGGGTATAATTTGGTTGCAACTTTGCAGCACCGTAATAGCAGGTCTTTGCCGGACAAATTAGGAGCAATTAAACCCTTAAACAAGCGGCAGGTACAGAGTCACACGGACAAGAGCCTGTTATCCGATAGGGAGTGAAAGAGGAATGGTGAGATAGGGGGATTAAGCCTTTCATTTTCCTCGACACCGCATGCCAGGCGCTCACAATTAACTAATTGGAGAGCATACCCACCACCCGTGCCCCATCAGACCTTGTTTTTTCCTAGTCAATAATTACCAAATGGCTTGATGATGTTATTATAATGTAAAGCGGACTTAATATCAAGACATTTTGCTTTATTTTGATAACATCAATTACAGCCATTAGAGACTCTTTGGGGATTTGTTAGGCTATAACACCCCCACAAGAAGATCGTTTTATTGCACAGAGGTTGCTCATGTCATAGCACGGGAGATAGTTCTCCTAAATTCATTAGGAGGTACAAATAGAAATAAATGAGACCTGGTCTCATTCTAAAGAATTCGATGAGAAATGTTTTGAGTTCGTTTTAAGAGCGCATATGGTACAGGCTAAGCACAATTTGAGACATGGTTGAGATCTGAAACCTCTTCTGTTCTCCGTTTAATGTCATTGCAGAAACAGTTTAGATATTAAAAGATCTCATTCGTGGTTTTGATACGGGCATGCTGCATATGGCGTTTTATAATTATTGAAAATGACTGAATATAACATTAAATTGTTTATTACTTTGTATAGTGAAAATCGACAATAAGTCACGGTAGTTCCCATGGCGAAGCACCTGCTATCTCTTTATCAGCCAGTGAGCGCTTCTGCTCAAGGAAGCTCATCCTCATTTGTACTCTCGACTGGAGACCGACAAATAACTTTGACCTCCGCGGAGGAGATGGACACTGCCCTCAAGAGGTGTTCTTTTTTAAGCGCAAGCGAACTGTTGCCTGTTAAAATATTGCATTTAGGACGCGCACCAAGGAGTGCGTTTGGCTAATCTGCGTATTTAATTAAATAAAGCGAGGAATTATTGTGTACAGTTATGACATGGAATTGGATAAATGAGTTTGTCAGCTAATTTATTATAAAAGTAAACTAAATATTTGTGATGAAAGAGATGGTTATTAAATATAATGTAGATTGTTGTATTACTTTAGTTCTATAATAGGCTATTTATAATCTACTACTATCTGCACAAGAGCACAAAAATGTACCAACACTAACACAAATTCTATAATGTATTCTATAGTTCTATAATGCATATAATCACATTTTATATATATATAAGCACAACATTTAAAAAAAGATTTTTAGAAAGTTAATTAACTTGAAATGAAATGAAAGTAAAACAAGTGGATACAATGTAGAAAAAGTAAATAAAAATAAATGATAATAATAGAAAATCAAAGGTGTAAATAAACATAATTGGACTGCATTTTTACTGTTTCTGTTTTTCTACTTCAAAATTTCACATTTAATTTAATATGTTGCTATTTCTTTGTAGTTTACTAGCAATTTCTGAGTGAAATTTATTTATACACCATTTTTTTCATTGCAGTTAAAGCTGTAATGTTAACTTGTTCATGGTCAGAACAGTATGAATAAAAAAAAAACGGATCATTGATAATCTCTATGCTTATGAATTTATACCTCATTCTTGACAAAAGTTTAAAATATCAATAATAAAAACCCATTTAGCTACTCAAGTCATGCCTGGGGCTATTCTGGGTTGTTGTTTTGTTCTGCAGGCCTGCAGCTGCCAGATCCACTGGGCTCCTTTTTCACACCATTTGTTTTCTCTCCTTTCAATTGTGAGTAATAAAATAAAATTAAGTGAGCATTAAGTTCATTGGGTTTGGGGGTCAATGGCTTCCGTATGGTGTGAATTATTCATGGTTGGAGACTGTATTGGTTAGAGACAGGTTGAAGTGCATGCTGGTCCTGTTGCCCCCACTTGTCTGTATGGAGGGATCTGTCGTGAGCTAACAGTGAAACAGGATTTAGAGTCCCACTGGGATTTGCCTTAGCTGGAAGGGGCGCTGTGACTGTCTGTGGGTCCCCCTCCTAGATCTACCCCTAGGGCTATGACACAGACTGCTGCAGGTTCCCCTGCTTTTATAAGGGATGGATGCTGAAAAGCTCTGAAAAGCATCTTTCATATGCTGCTCAGCCACCAGCCCTTGTTGCAGTTCATTATAGCTAACTGAGAGACTGGTGTTAAATTGTTAAATGTGCATTTTATGCTTAGGAGTCCCAACCAGACATCACAACTAAACACCAGATGGTAAGAAAACACATAAATATGTAAATAATCTTCTTTCTGTGCATCCATGAATTGTTCTCGGTGTTTTAAAAAAAAATATTCTCACTGTTTTTCCTGAGGTTTGAAGTGTCATTCAAGTACATCAAAATCACCCAATAATGATAATTTCATTTATTGCTAATCAAATATGTAGCCTTAATTTACGTAAGCTAATTACTTACCAGTAAATGAATACTGATGGAATGGAATCATTTTATACCATTTTTATTTAACACAAAATTGCAAGCTAATGCAGATGCAATACTTTATGAATCTGTTTATTATTAATCAATTCCATTAGCATTGGGAGACTGATCACCTCACATGAGGCATACGGTTGTGTGAACATGTATTTTGGACACTTAAGTCACAATGAAAAATGCAACACTGTGCATTTTCACGGTGCATTCAGTGTTACCGAATAAGATAATATAGTATCAAACCAAATGACATTTATTTTCAAGATAGACCAAACTATTGAGAGAAATTAACTTTTTCATGATATCTGGCCCTTAAATTGTTTTTTTATACCTTTTACTTGTTACCTTATTAAATTTGTCACGTATAAACATATAGTTCGTCTTTGTGATGATGCCATGTACAGTTTTGGGTGTTTCATTTTTAATTTTATGAAAGCTTCAAGTGCAGTTAATTATTTGTACGTGCATACAGACGATGGCAGTGTTGAAGCTCTTTATTTGCCGTCAAACGGCAAAATGCGCAAAATGCGGCGAAAAGTCCAACACGACGGTAATAATGTGATTAAGTTGTTTACATGTCTATACTGCACTTCAGTAATGCGACTAAAGTAGGAATACTCCACATGTCTTAATTCGATTTCTGTTTACTTCGAATATGACTTTAGCTGGATTAAGGTAATCAAAAAACTCTGTTTACATGTGTAATCGGAATGAGCTTGCTATGCCTTTAAGGGGTAGGTGACGCGATAGGACAGGTGATGTTTAAAGTCTCGCGGGCTTCAATGAAATGGCGTTTGTTCTCGTTCTCCGCTCGATGAACGAGTGTGTGTGTGGTTTGCTCTCCTGTATTGGCGCGTTGGAAGAACTGCTCGTGTGTGTGATTGCTGCTCTCGACAATTTAGCGTGAGTAAATATGCTTTTATGCATAGGAGTTGAATTGAATGATGTTAGTATAATATGCCCGCTAATGTGTTTTAGGATTATTTCCGTGCTGATGACCTGTTGATCCGAAAACGCGGTGTGCGTGCAACTCCGCGGGGTTTCAGCTACCTAATGTGAGTGCATGGCCAAGTTCATTGATAAGTGAAATTGATATGAAATGCGGTGCCATAAATTTAGGGTGTGTTATTTTAGGTTCGCTCTTGTGTTCATACTCGGCTGAGTTGCGAGTGTCCATTTGTACAGAATATACTGCATTGCAACCCACTTCTGCCTTTAGTGAGTCTGTTACGTCCAGTCATCAAAGTGAGTCATAGCGCAATGTTGGAAGGTACGTGAGTATTTTGTTTGTTTTAAGGTGAAATATGGGGGTTTTATGTGCAATAAAAATGTCAATTGGCATTAATTACAGGTTTTAAATCCTCTGTCGGACTTAGCGGCCGCTGTTACTTTCCCACTAAAATTTGAGATTTATTTATTAGTTGTGGTGTTTGCGTTATATTTAGTTTATTGGGTGTTCATGGTATTATAACTTTTGTTTTTTTTTTTTCCTTTTTTCTTTTTTGCTTTGCTGTGTGTGATTATTGTATTATGGAGGAACAACTCAAAGTTTTGGCCGAATTGGTACGACAATTGCAGGGGGATAACCAGCACCTAAGAGAAGAACTCTTTAGGAGGCCTGTTAATGTTGGTGGTGATGAGGCACAAGCTGCTAGCCCCAGGCATGATGTTGATGGCCGTCCATTTGTTAATACATCTGCATCTGAACGTTATGTTTATGTTCCACGTGAAAGAAAATGCCCCAGGTTCTCTGGGAAAAGGGCTATTGACTTGTTGACAATAGAAGATTGGGTTGAAGGACGTAGGTCTTTGATAGTTCGTCCAGTCCTAGTGGCTGAGAAAACTTTGTTTGTCTATGATCTTTTAGATGGAGAAGCTAAGGCTGAAGTAAAGTTTGGCCCCCCCTAGTGATAGAGATGATCCTGAAAAAATTTTTACAGTCTTGATATGTATGGTTGTTCTCAGTCTTTGGTTGGTTTGCAGAAGCAGTTTTTCCAACGTCGTCAGCTGGAGGGAGAGTCGTTGCGCGAATACTCGCATGCCCTCATGGCTCTAATGGAGGCGGACCCTATTGAGGCGTCATGGCCATCGTTGTCTGCTGTACAGTTCAAACAGGCTAAGTGCCTTTTGACCCGTTTTAGCTCTGTGTTTAGCAAGAGTGAGGGGGACTTAGGTTGTACTCCTCTAGTCCAACATGAGATACCAGTGTTGGATGATGCTCCTGTTCGTCAGCGGTATCGTCGGTTGCCCTCCTCTCAGTATGAGCAAGTCAAAACTCATATTAGTGAGCTGCTTGAACAGGGTATAATCAGGCCTAGTTGTAGTCGGGGTTTCAGCTACCTAATGTGAGTGCATGGCCAAGTTCATTGATAAGTGAAATTGATATGAAATGCGGTGCCATAAATTTAGGGTGTGTTATTTTAGGTTCGCTCTTGTGTTCATACTCGGCTGAGTTGCGAGTGTCCATTTGTACAGAATATACTGCATTGCAACCCACTTCTGCCTTTAGTGAGACTGTTACGTCCAGTCAAGTGAGTCATAGCACAATGTTGGTAGAAGGTACGCGAGTATTGTGTTTGTTTTAAGGTGAAATATGGGGGTTTTATGTGCAATAAAAATGTCAATTGGTTTTAATTACAGGTTTTAAATCCTCTCTCGGATTTAGCGGCCACCGTTTCTTTCCCACTAAAATTTGAGATTTATTTATTAGTTGTAGTGTTTGCTTTATATTTAGTTTATTGGGTGTTCATGGTATTATAACTTTTGTGATGTTATGATATTCATTTTGTTGTGAATTTTGTTTTATTGATTGGTGTACCACGGTATGGGAGGTCTTATTTTTGGTTTGTGTGATTTTTTTATTTATTTTTTATTTTTTATTTTTTTTGTGTTTCAGGTATGGTTTGAGTGGTTTTGAATAATTTGGGGTTTCTGTTTCCTCCCATGTGGTGTGTTATCCAGTCTATGATTCAGGGTTGATTTGCCTTATCTTGGGTATCATATTCATCATTGGTTTTATACAATGTAATTTAATAGTTTAATTTAAGTTGGTTTACTTTATTTCAGTTTTGTATTTATATCCTTTTTTTGGAACAATTGTCAACCCGGTTATTATTTTAATAACATTATCTATGGAAAAGGATTATATCTGTCATTCTAATAAAGTATTAACCTTTTGTACTCTGGCTTCTAGTTCATTTATTTGAACTACCTGTGTTAAAGATATCATTGTTAGGGTCCCTTACCCTAGAAAGTGGGGGTGGCGTAGTAAATTTGGCCGACATTCCTAACAGCCATATATTCGAGGTCATACATGGTAGATTCTTAATCAGAGTATTGTCTTAATCGTATTAAAATCGGATTATTGTTGTCCATGTAAACGTACTGATTGTGCTGCAGAGGTGACACAGAAGCTGCATTTGAAGTGCCATTTAGATGTATTTACACAGGCTGTTTAGCTCAGAGGTCATGAATGCATTTACACAGCAGTTAAAAATGCATAAATACTGTTAACATTTTAAATATAAAATTTTAAATAAAATAAAAAAATAATAAAGTGATTTTTAAAATATGAAATAAAAACCGCCAGTTACGTAGTAGCAATGAGTGAGTCATTGAATGATTCACTCAATCATTTTTTTTTTTCAGGAATGATGCAAATGACTGGCTGTGGTTGAAATCACATTCTGTCGGTGTATAGGTAATTTTTTTTGAATAAGTAGTTACTTTATTACATTTAAAAAGTATGTTTTATATAGTATGTAATAAGGAGGTACTACATTCATCATGTTGTGATTGTCATGTGACCTTCCAGTGTCAGTTGCCTCATTTCAGTGCTATTCACAAATCCTGTCCCATGGCATCATGGGATAGTAAAGTGTCCACTGAACGTGCAATCTCGGCAGTAGTAGGACATGCATGGTACCTTTAGACTACTGTTTGATGAATATGGTAAATTCGGACAAACTACTGTTTTCACACACTGTTTTCGCCTACTGTCCAGCAGGGAAGTACGTATATTCAGATGCAGCCATAGGCTATATAAATTAGTCATTGAATAATTCGCTCAACCATGTAGGATTACTTTGAAACATTATGCTAATAATCTTTGAAAAATCATTTCTAAAGTGTATTTTCTTTGGCGAAACATAATTTTTGTCTCAAAAATGTAAGTCACTTAATATTAATTGATGTATAAAACCAATATCACATTTTAATCGGGTTGCTATTGGGGAAAACAGCACACTTGCTCATGTGATATTGCTCAACTATACTGTCTGTTTAAAATGTAAAAAAACTCATACAAGGGCATTTTTTTTAAACAATATATAATTTCCCATCCTGGGGTGCATTTCCCAAAAACAACTATGATCACAAGTTGTTGTTACCAAAAGAGCTAGATGGAACATGCAACCACAGTTAGCTAATGATGCTTTTGGGAAATGCACCCCTGGCACGAACACACTTTTCAAGCATGAAAAAAATACATACACGGTCAAAATGAAGACAAAGGTATTTGGACACTTCCTGGTCAACAAATGTATGCCTAAACTCTGACACCTGTGCAGACTTGAGAACTAGCTTCATACATCCACTGACACATTGAGACTAGTTGGTTAAAAGCAATTGCAAAAATGGCACAGAAGACTAAAGCTAGCTCTGAGAAATGTTTTATAATTATTTCTTTAGCAGATATTTTCTATTGAATACATGAGACATTTTTTTGTATGTCCCAATACTATTTGGGACCATTGTATCTGAAATAGCATAACATTTATTACACAAAAAAAACTTTCTGAAACACATGAAAACAAACATTTATTTGCATTTTGAATCTCTACAAAAATGCATTTAAATTAAACAGTTAGGAGTTGTGTGGATAGATTTGGAAGAATAAGCCCCAACATTATGTACATTTTATTTTATTTTTTGTTTAAAAAAAAATAAGAGTAAAACTGGTTTTCATAATGTATGTCTGTGTGTCTTATAATTAAATGAATCTGATTAGTATTTTTTATGTTTAGTATATTTATGAAACAATTCGATAAATAATTTGTTAATAGTGCCAAAGTTTCTTTACTAAAGTAGAAATTTACTCATATGCTTGTGTGAGTAACCGTTGGTATAAAACCACTATGAAATCAAGCAGGGTACCATCATTACTTTATAAACTAGTGTTGGATTGATAGATGATATCTAATATTTTTAATATCTCATTGTGAATCTGAATTGCCATTTGATGTGAATCCATTAGTTCTGGTACAGCAAGGATTGAGAAGTCATCTTTTCCCCCCATTTTGTGTTAAAAGCTCTGACATATGCTTCAAAAGGGGTTTGTCTTTATCCATGGAAGTTAGTTTCCAATTCAGTGGACATTTGGTCTTTAAAAAAATGGTGGGTCAAACCAATGAATTTAATGAACTCTCCAACACAAAGAAAGTGTTTTGCCATTTGAACCCCCATAAAGGCGGATAGGCAGGTCAGCAAAGTTCTTTCAAGAGGTTTGTACACATATGTGACAATGTTTAGAATGCAGACCTCTTCAGTGTCCCCATTGACAAGATTGTTCAAAGTGTTGAGGACGGCAGTGATGGTCCTGTTATCCGAGGGTTCGCTATTGTTCTCCCAATTTGAGCCAGTTCCTTTTTCACTGCCCAAAACACTCCCGGACAACAAAAGTCAAGGAATGCAAACCACATTTTCCACCTCTCAGAGTGACTGCCCAAGCAAAACCGGTTCGAGAAGGTCCTCAAATGGTTGCAGCATACAGAAAGATGTTTGACTTCTCATCATATCCTTTTTTTAAAAAAACATTATTTCCACCTCCCTTGTGTTTTTCCCTTATATCTTCCCTTCAATGGCCTGTCCTGCAGCATCTGCCTCCCACTTGTTCTGTCCATCTTTTGGGAAGAGATAGTGGGAGGAGTAGAGAGAGGGATCAAAAAGGAGGTACAGGATAGGATTAAAGGATGATGGATGGGAGGGAGTTTGATTGGAATCACCTGCTATTTGATGTCCATGCTTAAATCAATCAATTTTACTGTTTTTACAATGTAACATGGAAAATGTGCAGTTGTTACTTAAAGAGTTGTTTCTAATATTTCTAATAATTATATTGTTGGTGTAACTCAGTGTATCAGGTTGATTTAATCAAATTAACTATTCATTTTTAATTAAATAAACAAATTTCGCTGTTACCACATGAAGCACATTTGG